TCTTATTCCGACAGGGTCATAGTCAAAGTGGAAGTTCTCTCCTCCCTTCAGAGAAAGGTACCTCCTTCTTTGATGGCCCTGTTCTTTCCGCTGGGATCTCACTCGCAGAGATATTTCATTTAGGTCTTCTTTTTTTTTTTCCCCCAGAGTGTCTTGGCTTTCCATGCCTAAAATACTCTCATGAGATCCTCAGCCAGATCCGAATGTCTTAAGGGCTGATTCTAAGGCCAGAGTGGTATTTAGGACATCTGCCATTCTATGAGTCTGCTGTGTATCCAGCTTCCCATGATGGATTGTTCTCTCCCTTTTTGATTCTATCAGTTAGTATTAGCAGACACTAGTCTTGTTTGTGTGATCCTTTTGACTCTTAGACCTATCAGTGTGATCAATTGTGAACTGAAATTGATCACTTGGACTAGTGAGATGGCATTGGTGCATGCCACCTTTATGGGATTGTATTGGAGTCCCCTGGCACGTTTCTAACTCCAACATTTGGGGCAAGTGCGATTGAGCATGTCGCAAATTGTACTTCTCCTCCCTCTCTTATTCTCACTCTTATATTTAACAGGGATCAATTTTCAGTTAAAATTTAAATGCCTAAGAATAATTGTGTGTTATTACAGAGTTCAACCAATAGTACTAGACCAAAACAAAGAAAAAATACTAACATGGATAAAGTATTACATTGTACATCAACAGTCAGGACAAGAGCTGATCAAGTCACTGTTTCTCATAGTGTCCATTTCATTTCCACAAGTATCCCCTTTGGTGCTCAGTTAGTTGTCACCGATCAGGGAGAACATATGATATTTGTCCCTTTGGGACTGGCTTAATTCACTCAGCATGATGTTTTCCATATTCCTCCATCTTGTTGCAAATGACCGGGTTTCATTATTTTTGCTGCTGTATAGTATTCTATAGAGTACATGTCCCATAATTTCTTTATCCAGTCTACTGTTGATGGGCATTTGGGTTGGTTCCAGGTCTTAGCTATTGTGAATTGAGCTGCAATCAACATTAATGTGCAGACAGCTTGTTTGTTTGCCAATTTCATTTCCTTTGGGTAAATTCCAAGGAGTGGGATGGCTGGGTTGTATGGTAGGGTTATATTCAGGTTTCTGAGGAATCTCCAGACTGACTTCCATAGTGGCTTCACCAGTTTGCATTTCCACCAACAGTGGGTTAGTGTCCCTTTTTCCCCACATCCTCTCCACCACCTATTGTTGGTAGATTTCTGAATGTGAGCCATTCTAACTGGGGTGAGGTGAAACCTCATTGTGGTTTTGATTTGCATTTCCCTGAATGCTAGTGATCTTGAACATTGTTTCATGTGTCTGTTGGCCATTTGGATTTCCTCTTTTGAAAAATGTCTATTGAGGTCCTTGGCCCATCTCTTAAGTGGGTTGTTTGTTTTGATGTTGTGGAGTTTCTTGATTTATTTGTAGATTCTGGTTATCAACCCTTTATCCGTTGCATAGTTTGCAAATATTTTTTCCCATTCTGTCAGTTGCCTCTTCACTCTCCTGACTATTTCTTTTGCAGTACAGAAACTTCTCAATTTGATGCAATCCCAAATGTTAATTTTGGCTTTGACTGCCTGTGCTTCTGGGGTATTTTCCAGGAAGTCTTTGCCAGTACCTATATCTTACAGAATTTTTCCAATGCTCTCTAATAATTTGATGGTGTCGGGTCATAGATTTCAGTCTTTAATCCATGTTGAGTGAATTTTTGTGTAAGGTGAAAGGTAGGGGTCTTGCTTCATGATTCCGCATGTGGAAATCCCAGCACCACTTATTGAATAGCTTCCAGCTTTTCTCCATTCAATAAGATGTTGGCCGTGGGTTTTTCATAAATTGCTTTGATTGTATTGAGGAATGTTCCTTCCATACCCAGTTTGCTTAGAGTTTTCATCATAAAAGGGTGTTGTATTTTATCAAATGCTACCTCTGCGTCTATTGAGATAATCATATGGTTTTTCTTCTGCAGTCTGTTAATGTGGTGTATCACATTGATTGATTTGCGCATATTGAACTATCCCTGCATACCAGGGATAAATCCCACTTGGTCTGGGTGGATGATCTTTCTGATGTGTTGTTGCATTCTATTGGCGAGAATTTTATTGAGGATTTTTGCATCTATGTTCATCAGAGATATTGGTCTGTAATTCTCTTTCAGTGCTGCATCTTTTTCTGGCTTAGGAATTAAGGTGATGCTGGCTTCATAGAAAGAATTTGGGAGGATTCCCTCTTTTTCAATTGTTCTGAGTGGTTTGAGGAGAATTGGAGTTAGTTCTTCTTTAAATGTCTGGTAGAGGGCCGGCGCCGTGGCTCAATAGGCTAATCCTCCACCTTGCGGCGCCGGCACACCGGGTTCTAGTCCCGGTCGGGGCGCCGGATTCTGTCCCGGTTGCCCCTCTTCCAGGCCAGCTCTCTGCTATGGCCAGGGAGTGCAGTGGAGGATGGCCCAGGTGCTTGGGCCCTGCACCCCATGGGAGACCAGGAGAAGCACCTGGATCCTGGCTCCTGCCATCGGATCAGCGCGGTGCGCCGGCTGCAGCGGCGGCCATTGGAGGGTGAACCAACGGCAAAGGAAGACCTTTCTCTCTCTGTCTCTCTCTCTCACTGTCCACTCTGCCTGTCAAAAAAAAAAATGTCTGGTAGAATTCAGCAGTGAATCTATCTGGTCCTGGGCTTTTCTTTGTTGGGAGGGGCTTTATTACTGTTTCAATTTCTGTCTCAGTTATGGGTCTGTTTAGGTTTTCTATGTCTTCCTGGTTCAATTTAGGTAGGTTGCATGTGTCCAGGAATCTATGCATTTCTGATAGGTTTCCCTGTTTGCTGGCACACAAGTCCTTGTAGTAATTTCTGATGATTCTTTTTATTTCTGTGGTGTCTGTTGTTACATTTCCTTTTCCATCTCTCATTTTATTGATCTGGGTCTTTTCTCTTCTTTTTTTAGTTAGTTGGGCCAATGGGGTGTCAATTTTGTTTATTTTTTCAAAAAACCAGCCCCTCCTTTGATTGATTTTTTGTAATTTTTTTTTTGGATTCAATCCTGTTGATTTCTTCTCTGATTTTAATTATTTCTCTTCTCCTACTAGATTTGATTCTGGTTTGCTGCAGATTTTCTAGGTCCTTGAGATGCATTGAAAGCTCATCTATTTGGTGCCTTTCCAATTTCTTGATGTAGGCACCTATTGATGTAAACTTTCCTCATAACATTAGTTTTGCTGTTTCCCATAAGTTTTGGTATGTTGTGCTGTTATCCTCATTTACTTCCAGAAAATTTTTGACTTCTCTTTTGATTTCTTCTATGACCCATTGTTCATTAAGGAGCATGTTGTTCAATCTCCATGTGTTTGCATATGCTCTAGGGATTCCTGAGTTGCTAATTTCCACCTTCATTCCTTTATGGTGTGAGAAGCTGCATGGTATGATTCTAATTCTTTTGAATTTGCTGAGACTTGCTTTATGGCCAATATGTGGTCAATCCTAGAGAAGGTTCCATGTACTGCTAAGAAGAATGTAAATGCTTTCTGTGTAGGATGAAAAGTTCTGTAGATATCTGTTAGATCCATTTGGGCTATAGGGTCGTTTAAATCTACTGTCTCCTTGTTGATCTTCTGTCCTGTTGATCTGTTTATTTCTGAGAGTAGAGTATTGAAGTTCCCCAGTACTATGGTATTGGGGTCTAAGTCTCCCCTTAAGTCCCTTAACAAACCTTTTAAATACACTGATGCCCTGTAATTAGGTGCATATACATTGATAACCATTATATCTTCCTATTGAATTGATCCCTTAATCATTATATATGCCCCTCTTTGTCTCTCCTAACAGTTTTTGTGGTAAAGTTTATGTTGTCTGATATTAAGATGGCTACGCCCGCTCTTTTTTCATTTCTGTTGGCATGGTATATCTTTTTCCAGCCTTTCACTTTCAGTCTGTATGCATCTTTGTTGGAAAGATGTATTTCTTTAAGCAGCAAATAGATGGGTTTTGTTCCTTAACCCAATCACCCAATCTGTGTCTTTTAACTGGACAGTTCAGGCCATTCACGTTCAATGTGACTATTGATAAGTAGTAACTTTGCCCTGCCATTTGCCAAAGATATTTTCTAATATACGCTTTGAATTCCCTGTGATCTTTTGCTGTGAGGTTTCCTTCGTTTACCTTCTTTCATATTGATGACCATGTTTCTGTGTTTCTGTGTGTAACACATCTTTAAGCATCTTTTGCAGGGCTGGACAAGTGGCGACAAATTCTTTCAATTTCTGTTTGCTATGAAAGGTCTTTATTTCACCTTCATTCACAAATGAGAGTTTTGCAGGATATAATATTCTGGGCTGGCAGTTGTTCTCTCTTAGTACCTGGGCTATATCTCGCCATTCCCTCCTAGCTTGTAGGGTTTCTGATAAGAAGTCTGCTGTGAGTCTAATTGGATACCCTCTGAGAGTAATCTGACGTTTCTCTCTTGCACATTTTAGAATCTTTTCTTTCTGTTTCACTGTGGTGAGTTTGATTACAACATGTCGTGGTGAGGATCTCTTTTGGTCATGTTTACTAGGGGTTCTGTGAGCTTCCTGTACTTAATGTCTCTGTCCTTCTCTAAACCCGGGAAGTTCTCTGCAAGTATCTCACTAAAAAGGCCTTCTAATCCTTTCTCACTCTCCATGCCTTCAGGAACTCCTAGAACCCGAATGTTGGGTTTTTTAATAGTATCCTGTAGATTCCCAACAATATTTTTTAGATTTCTAATTTCCTCTTCTTTTCTTTGGTTTGACTGTATACTTTCTTGTTCTCTGTCTTCTAAGTCTGATATTCTCTCTTCTGTTTCACTGACTCTGTTTTTAAGGCTCTCTAATGTGTTTGCCATTTGATCTATTGAGTTCTTCATTTCATTTTGATTTCTCTTCACTATCACACTTTCCTGTTCTAGTTTCTGTGTTTCATTTTGATTCCTCCTTAAGATTTCATTTTCTCATTCTCCTGGCCGATCTGAAAATGTCAGACTCACATTATAGCAGCAGCGAGATGAATTACTTTAAGGAGGCATTAGATGAGGACAATGTGATTTTAACATTGGTTCCAGTTGTAGAGGAACCTAAAAAAGAACATCTAGTGGAACCAAGTGTTTCTTCAACCGCAGATATCAAACCTGCAGATATCAAATCTAAGAAGCCTTGGCAAAGCAATAAAGTTGATTTGTCACAAGCAAACGAACAATTCAAAGCTTCCCCAAAACCTAAGTGCAAAAAAGCAGTTTTTCCCCTGCCAACCATTTTGCCCCCAATTACTAAGGTGTCTCGGAACACTTTGCGGAACTGGTGCCAACAACTTAATTTGAGTACAGATGGCCAGAAAATAGAAGTGTATCTGAGGCTCCAGAGACATGCGTATCCTGAACAAATACAGGATGTTCCTGACATACCACGAGAAGCCAAAATGCAGTCATGTCCAAGAAAAAGTACTAATAGAGCAAGGCTTCAGGACAGTTGTACTAGGAGCAATGGAGAGGAAGAAACTAATATAGTTGAAGTGATAACTTCAGCTCAGGAAGCCACGTTGGCATCTTGGGCAAGAATTGCTGCAAGAGTCAGTCAGCCCAAGGCTGTGAATTCGTCTTCCATTCCTACTTCAGTTGAAGCCTTTTTGCAGGAAGCCTCTGGTGTCAGGTGGTGTGTAGTTCACGGCAGACTTCTCCCTGCAGATGTACCGGGCTGGGTTCGCCTGCAGTTCCGTGCAGGCCACACCTGGGTACCTGATACTCCCAAGAGGATGATTTCTCTCTTTCTGTTACCAGCCTGTACTTTTCCATCCCCAGGACTAGAAGACAACATGTTATGCCCTGAATGTACTAAGAGGAATAAGAAGATGATGAGAAGATTAATGTCAGTGGGGGAGAAAAAACACCACACTGTAAGAAAACAGAATATGCCACCCCAAAATATGCCACCTTAAACTGTGTTCGTGTTGTTTTTATCTGAGAGTAATTGAGAAGAAGCAGATACAAGGAGAATTCTTTGCCTTCCCGCTATTTAACAAAAAAGCCACTTTTTCACTAAAAAGTGGTACCTAAGTTTATGAAAGTCCCACCTCCCCCTCTCTACCAGGAAGGCCATATGGTGGAGTCCACAACAGATTGGCTTGCATCTGAATAATTCTGACCGTCTTCAGTGTCTCCTCATACCTCAAGTACAGACTTACTAAGTATTTTGTTATGTAGAATGTGATTTTGTTTTGTTTTAGAATGCTTGCTATATTTGAACAGTTTCAGGGGAAAATACAGAGTTCCCAGATATTTGCCCCACTCCCCAGCCCCACCACGCATGATTTTCTCAACATCTTGCATTCGTGTGATACATTTGTTACAATTTATGAGTCAATTTGGGCACGTTGATTAAAGTCCATACTTTTGCATTAAAAAAAAAAAAAAAAAAGATTTCATTTTCTCGAAGGAGATTTTCTATCCTGTCCAGTAAGTAATTCCATACCTCAAGCATTTGTTTTTGAAGAATTCTAATTGTTCTTATCATAAATTTTTTGAAATTGGTATCTTGCATTTCTTCCATCTCATCATTTTCATAATCTTGGCTTGGTTGGGAGTGTCATAATGTCTTCCATGTTCTTGTTTCCTCAGTTTTTGCATTTGTTGCTTGGCATCATGGAGATATCTTTGGGTTCTTCTTCCCTCACTGTGGTGTTTTTATTTCTTGTTATACTATGACTGTATTAAGTGGACTGTCTGCTTTTGATGGAGCCTTAGAGGCTTGAGATGCATGTGGCCTGAGAGCTCTGTTTGGTCCTCAGGGTTAAGGGTGTGCCAAAGGTGACACTCCCAGGTTAGGTGTGGTAAATCTCTCTCTCTCTCTCTCTCTCTCTCTTTCTTTTCTTTTTTTTATTTTTTATTTTTATTTTTTTTGATTCAAAAGGGAAGTAATTGCACACAGCTGAATGGAATTGGAGGTAGTTAGCAGGTGAATGATATTCCCACAGGAGCCAGAGATCGGAAGCTCTTTCCCAAGGACCACACAGGGAATCTGTTCTGCCCTCAGTGTGGGCTCAAATTCTCCGCAGTCTCCCACTGGGTTGCCAAGGTTACCGAATTGTAGCGTCTCTGGTGAGTACTCACATGAATTCCGTGAGTTCTCTCCCCCATCGTCTCTTTTTTCACAGTCTCAGTTCATTAGCACCACACATTCACTAGGTCCTAATCTCCTGTTATTTCACCCCCCTGCCCCCAGAGTCAGGTTTTCTGCTAGGCTGAGGGCCGGTGCAGACCTGAAGTTGCCCTGCTTATGATGTATGTCCAAAATGGTGCCTGCTCTTTGTCTTGCTCGCCTTTGAGAGGTGAGCGGAGAGAGAGAAACTCGAGTCTGTATTGGTCACTTTTTTTTTCCCTCTCTCTTCTAGTTAGCCTGGTGATCTTTTCCCCATGGGGTTTCAAGCCTTGTTCTCTCTAGTCTCCTCTTTCTGCTTTCCCACCGGTGTCTTGGGCTATTGAGGTTCAGCTCACCTCGAGTTCCAGTGCTGGTGTGTTGAGTCTGCTGCTGGTGTCCCGAAAGGTGGGCTCCCATGCTCTCCACGCAGGTCCACTGTGAATCACTAGTTCCGGAAGAGTTTCCTCTGCTGTTTCTTCCTCTACTCTTCCTTGAACCTGCAGTATCTCCACTTTTATTAAACTGTCTCTTCCCTGACTATCAGTGTGCTCCCTTCCTATTCTGAACATCTTGCCACTCTCCAACAATTGCATATTCTATTTATATTATTTCTGGTATAAGCATTTTATAAACAGCTGAAAATATAGCTTATACAAAAGAAATCATTTTAAATTCATCATAATGAATACATTTCTACTAAATTAGAATGCCTGCCCAGGGTAAAGTTCTTTCTTTTTTTTTCAATTTTTGTTTTGACAGGCAGAGTTAGACAGTGAGAGAGAGAGAGACAGAGAGCATTGCTTCACCCACCAAGTGGCAGCGCACCGGTGCACTGTGCCAATCTGAAGCCAGGAGCCAGGTGCTTCCTCCTGGTGCAGGGCCCAAGGACCTGGGCCATCCTCCACTGAACTCCCGGGCCACAACAGAGAGCTGGACTGAAAGAGGAGCAAGAGGGACAGAACCTAGGGTGCTGGCACCGCAGGTGGAGGATTGGCCTAGTGAGCCTCGGCACCAGCCTCTTTTTTTTTTTTTTAAGATATTTATTTTATTTGAAAGGCAGAGTTACAGAGAAAGGGAAAGACAGACACACAGAGAGAGAGAGAGAGAGAGATCATCCATCTGCTGGTTTACTCTCCAAATGGTTGCAACTACTGGAGCTGGGCCAGGCTGAAACCAGAAGCCGGGAGTTTCATCCAGGTTTCCCATGTGGGTGCAGGGGCCCAAGCACTTGGGTCTTTCTTTCTTTTATTTTCTCAAAAGAAAGGGTCTAAATAGTCAGAGGAAATATACTAAAGGGAACAAAGTCATTAAATTTTCTAGACTAGTCATTAAATTTTCAAAGGCTTTCTTTGGATATCATCTTTAAAATTTTTTATTTATTTATGTGAAAGGCATAGTTATGGAGAGATAAAGAGACAATGAGAGTGAGGTCTTGCATCTGCTGTTTTCTCCCCAAATGGGTGCAACAGTGGGGACTGGACTGGGTGGAAGCCAGGAATCAGGAGCTTCCTCCAGATCTCCCGAGTGGGTGGCAGGGGCTGAAACACTTGGATCATCCTCAGCTGCCTTCCCAGGCCACCAGTAAGAAGCTGGATTGGAAGAGGAGCAGCCAGAACTAAAACTTGTGCCCATATGGGATGCCAGCACTGCAGGTGGTGGCTTAACCCATTACACAACTCCGGCGCCATGGACATCATATTTACAACAAGCAAGTTCTTCCAAACTAATAATTCATTATCCATTTCTGATATTTCCAGTTTAATTTTCTTTTTGTTATTTAGTATAAGAATGTTGTCAATTCTGCAGCTGATTGTTGAACATTTCTTTGTACTTTTTCCAAAGGATTTTGAATATATTATTTTTAAAAAGTGAAAGATTTGATTCAAAGGAGTGAAATGGATCCTCTTGGCACAAAAACATGGTACTTGTCTAAAAATTGTTCATTAGAATCACAAAACCTGTAAATATAGTCTGGGTAACATATTTGCACACCATCCAAAAAATATACTAACACTATATTATCATACTTTAATTGCTTTATTTAGTGCTCCATTTTTTAAAAATTAGCTACAAAATATCACATTTAAAAATTTTACATAAGAAAATGCAGGCCTTCACAATCATCAGACTGTACTAAATACATGTCCTACTTGGAAAAGCAAATTAAGCAAAATGCATCATTTATTTTTATATTAAAAGAATAGAAAATTCTGGCAAGGCAGTAAAGTGTCAAGTATGTAACTCATTTTAAATTATTACTGGCTTTCTTTTTGTTTATATGACAATGGCACTTTCTACAATAATATGGAACAGTTTTTTCATTTTCATAATTTTTATTTGAGACATAACGCAAGCTCCAAAACTATACTGTGCCATGCTGTTCAACTAATTCTATGTCTTTCAGCTTACAACTAAAGGGAATGAAGTTTGATGCTAAAATCCATACTTTTGGAACATATTCTTTTGCAACAACTTTCTAGTATATATTCCGAAATCCACATTAGGAGTTTAATGATTATATTTTTGGCCTCAATTTTATTTATACTTCAAGCACATCACATTCACAAGCTAGCAAGGTAGTAAATATGCCATTCAACATTAGAATCTGATGAATTATTAAATCTTATAAATTTGTCCAGTATTCAATTTTCCTAGGAATATAGGAGAGATTTATTTCAGAGACATACTGAAATTTATATTAGATAATTGTATCACTTTTTGCTAAACAGAAATGTTGTTTTCCTTTAAAAATACAATTGGTATTTTGATTGGTATTGCATTGAATCTGTAAACTGTTTATGCTAGTTTGGACATTTTGATGATGTTGATTCTTCCAGTCCAAGAACATGAAAGATTTTTCCATTTTTAAATTTATTTTTCTATTTCTTTCTTTAGTGTTTTGTAATTTTCATCACAGTGATCTTTGACATTCTTTGTTAAGTTTAAACCAATGTTTTCAATACTTTTTCGAACTATTTTGAATAGGACTGATCTTAAAAGTCTTTATCAGCCATGACATTGTCTGTATATACAAAGGCTATTGATTTTTCCATGTTGATTTTATATCCTGCCACCTTACCAAACTCTTTAATGAGTTCCACTAGTCTGTCATTGGAGGCCTTTGGATACCCTATTACCCTAAATATAAAAACCTGTCATCTGCAAATAGGGATAGTTTGATTTCCTCCTTTCCAATTTGTATCCCTTTTATTTCTTTTTCTTGCCTAATGGCTCTGGCTAAAATTTCCAGGGCTATATTAAGCGATGGTGAGAGTGGGCATCCTTATCTGGTTCTGAACTGCAGGGGGAATATTTCCAGCTTTTCCCCATTCAGTAGGATTCTGGTTGTGGGTTTGTCATAAATTGCCTTGGTTGTGTTGCGGAATGTTCTTTCTATACCCAATTTGCTTAATATTTTCATCATAAAAGGATGTTATATTTTATAAAATGCTTTTTCCACCCTTAATAAGGCATTTGGATCTGGCTAAAAAGCCCATGAGAGCATTTCAAGCATGGGAAGCCAAGACATTGTGGCAAAACCTGACCTAAATGAAAGATCTCTGTGGGTGAGATCCCAGTGGAAAGAACGGGCCATCAAAAAAAGAGGTACCTTTCTCTGAAGGGAGGAGAGAACTTGCACTTTGATTATGGCCTTATCTAAATAAGGTCAGAGTTTGTGAACTCATGAGGCTTCCATAGCCTTGGCAGCTCATGACAAGAGCGTAGGGTGATTACTGACATCATAAATAAGAGTGTCAATTGTTAAATCAACAATGGTAGTTACTGTGCAACCACTCCCCATGTAGGATCTCTGTGCTTAATGTGTTGTACTATGAGAATTAACAATAAAACTAGTCTTCAAACAGTACTTTATATACTTGTGTGTCTGTGTGGGTGCAAACTGTTGAAATTTTTACTTAGTATAGAATTGATCTTCTGTATATAAAGATAATTAAAAATGAATCTTAATGAAAAATGGGATGGGAGAGGGAGTAGGAGATGGTATGGTTTGTGGGTGGGAGGGTTGGTATGTGGGTAAGAACTTCTATAATCCAAAAATTGTACTTATGAAATTCATATTTATTAAATAAAAGCTTCCTATAAAAATAAAATAAAATGCTTTTTCTGCATCTATTGAGCTAACCATATGGTGTTTGTTCTATAGTTTGTTGATGTGATATATCACATTGATCGATTTGTGAATGTTGAACCATCCCTGCACACAATCTCACTTGGTCTAGCAAATGATCTTT